GAGCGCGAAAAACACAAACAGAGACGGGCGGACGACACGCGGCGTGTGTCTGTCTGCTACACGGACGAAACACAGACTGCAGCAACGGCAACCGGGCAAAAGAACAAACGCCCAGATATTCTTCATCTCGGGCAGACACCCAAGGAAGAGGTAAAATAAACCGGGGGGGTATATTTCGGTGCCAAACAAATTTTGGTGGTACAGTACACAGGAAAAACTGACCCAGAAATTTACCCGAAAAATCCTCCCCACGCGGACGGTCCAAAAGCCCAAGCACCTAACGTCCTGCTCAAGCCAGTTCACGAGACGATACATACGCTGCAGCGTGTTTCTTGCAGAATGGTCTGTTCACTTCGTTCTATCGGCGGTCACAATTACCGTCGCGGTCGATCACACACATTGGCATGTAGCCCGGTGGTTTGCTGGGTTCTAAGGCAAAAGTGGGTCCCCACCCACACCCCCTGTTTCAGACAACAGCCAGCACTCGGGCAACCCAGGTCTCGCAACTCCTTATTATCATCTCTCGCCGTTTGTCACTTCAAAAGCACAAACCAACGCCAAGCAACCCCCTACGTCGGAAAACGGTTACGATCGTTCTCCCCGCACCACATAACGCCCCCCGCCCAAAGAGACAAATCAGCCCTCCAACCTTTAATGCTCAACCTTTTATGCTCAATACTTGTGCAGTACTGCGTAGTAACTCAACGCTTCTTCTTTCCGAACACCGATGCCACCGCTTTCTTCCTGACCTCCGTACTACGGGCCTCCACCTCCTCCTCCTCAGTCTTGCCCTTCCCGAGACCAAGCTTCGAGAACTGCGCCTGTGCGCCCCTGCGCGTGTGCTTGCCCAGCCGGTCCGCCCGCTCCTTGGCTCGCCGGGCGGCCCGCGCGGCGGCGGCGGCCTCGACCCTCGCCTCCGCGTTGGCGATGTCTCGCAGGAGGGACCTGCGGTAGTGCTCGAAGCCTTGACGGTGAACGTTCACCTGTGTGGTGGTGTGGTGGTGTGGCGTGTGGCGTTGAAGTAAAACAAAAAAAAAGAAGCTTTTTTGTGTTAATTAGGTCAGACACGGCATGCACACAATACTTGAAAAAAATTAAATAGGGTGCCCTTTTTCTAATTCATTTGGAAGTTATGACAATGTTGGGTTTGTAGAAAAGTGTAGTACACGTCTCACCACGAAAAATGGGGGGGCTGTCGCCGTAATAAATAGCACGAAAACTACAACAGTACAAGTACTTTATTTGAATGTTGTGATATATGCTACGGGTTTGGGTAGTAAGCAGCAGTAGGGTTGTGGGGGTACGGCCAGTAGAGGGTGATGGGTTGAGATCTGTCTTGAGTGTCATACCGCATTATGCCAATACGAAATGACTTCTGAAGAAAAAAGTGGCGAAAAGTCTCAAACACGCTCCGAAGGGCCGGAGCGATTTGTTGATTTTGAAGCCGACTCCAAAGCGAACAAGAGCCAGCAAGCGTTTCCTTTCAACAGTAGTAAAAAAAAAAGTAAAGAAAACAAATCGAGGGCAATCTGAAAAGCCATTGCAATCATACTATTAATAGCCGGCCGGTGTGTGCGACCTCAAGGCGTCGCAAGACGCAGTATTCCCGTCGAAGAGACCCCTTGCAGAAAGGGTTATTTCCTCTGGCGGCTACAGACCTTCTCCACAACGTCCCCTCCGTCATCATCCACGGAAGAGGGAACAACAGCCACCCCCAGGGGGGGGGGGGGGGGGGCCCCCGGGGGGGGTCCTGGGTTTGCCCCCAAAAAAAAAAACCGGGGAAAAAAAAAAAGGGGGGGGGAAAGGGCCCCCGGGGAGCACCCCAAACCTTGCGGAAATCTTTTCTCGGAGGGGGAAGGGGCCCAAAACCCCCCCCCCAACACCGGGAATCTTTTTGGGGGGCCCCCCCCCTGCCCCCAAAGGAAAAGGTTCCGGGGGGCACACGGGCC